TTCATACGTTTATATTCAAATTCAGACCAATTTTGATCTGTGGACATGTCATATTTGTCTTTGTCTATGTTAAAGTCAAACTTTGTCACTACGACAACAAATGTCTGTTTCAGTGGTGTTTGACCACCAATTTTTGTAATATATCCCATTTTCCAGACAATAATTTTCAATGAAACATATACCAGTATACCACATGTGGTACCTCTGCGGAGAATTTTCCGGAAAAATTATTACCCCTGTATGTATAAATTTGTTATTACCTCAACATACTGTCTTACCTTAATCGCAATCAAACTCATGTGTTGTCCTACTATACACACAACTAGATTTCAAGTCATGCAGATGAATGCAATTAACAAGCAACTTAAGTGTTTTCCCAGTCCCCATAACTTAACTTTAAATACACTTAAAAACAGATGTTCTTGATAAAAATAAGTGACAGGCCAGCTAATTTTCCATATGAGGGTAGAATTATCAGAAGTACTGTAAAAATAATTTATTTTTCATATATATATAATTATATACATGTATATCATTCATTCTTTTTTAGTGTCATTTATTGATGAATTTTGATGATATACTATAACTGTCCAAAGAGTACAAATGTAACATGGTTATTCCATAAATCTAAGTGCAGAAGCTACATACAAGTTATTCACAAAATTCTCACTTGTCTAAAACATACATGTACCAACCAACATTGGATTAATATACAATATTAAATTTGCTCATATTGCCATTGCTACAGGTAGCACCAGATGGTCATTATTGCTACCAAAACAACATTATTACGAACCAATTTGTTATTACATTTAGGCCCATTAAAAAGGGTTTTCTCAAATTATTAAATGTTCACCAAAAAAAAAGTAATCCATGTAGCACAAGATATTCCTGTCTTCCTTACAAGATAGTTGAATAACTGTACATTTGTTCATGAAAGGACAAAAAAACTTTTTAATTACAATTTATGTAACATATTGTACATATATTTGCGCATGTTTTATGCTAACACTACTGTCATCTCCTTCATAACAGCTAACTAGCCGACTGTTTTGCTGAACATGTCTGGAGATCGTTATCTAATCAAACCAAAAATCAAACAGAGATGGTACTCAATAAATTTAATGCATTCCAATTCTAAAGTTGTCAACAAATGAGAATGCAGAATCCCTTGTTCTGTATGTACCGGTAATGTCATCCATCACTAGCAAGATTGCATGTGTACTTACAGCTACAGAATGATGTGATCAGTTATTGTTGGCAACGTACTGGAATATCTGGTTCAATCGTCAACAATTGTAAATAGCAATCAGTTTCCAGTATGTATAATCATTATAACGAGATCATGCAAGCCATCTCAGAGAAATAGATGCTACTACTACTAAATATGATAGAAAGTGCTCAAAATACATCTAACACTAACTAAATCAGGCGATATATTTGTGAGGAATGAACATGGATCTGAATAATAAAAACAAAATGGCCACCAGTTGGCAATTTTTGTTTGGATTTTGAACAAAATACACATATGAAAAGCATTTGTAATCGAATACGCTTAACCTTGATACTAAGTTTGAATGAAACCACAATGTTCATCTTCAAGACAAGATTCCAGATATGTTTCAGACAAAATGGCCATCAATTCAACAAATCCCAATATTACCTACGAGCATAGTATTTATGTGTAAAATTTCAACTGAATCACTAATGAGAAATCAGCTTGAACATGAACAAAAACAAAATGTCCACCAGTTAGCTATTTTCGGGCAAATTTCAAAAAACTTGACATGTAACCTGACCTGCATGATCATGATACATAATTTGAATGAAATCGTCCTGCTCATCTTCTGTTCTGGACACGTTTAAGCAACATACTGCAAAACACGTTGAAGAAGCTACATGTCATTTTTGCAAATTTGACTCTATGCATGAATTATGGTAACAGAATCTTAATTTAGCTCAAGTAATTTAAAAAATGTAGGAACCAAAATGTCCGCCAGACAGCTATATGACAGAATAATTACAAAGCAAACGATTCACTAAAAATAACTACAAAGAATACCTATAAAGGGATGATATATGTACCAATTATTGAATGACTAAGCGTAACTAAGAAGAATAATTACTTAAATTGTTAGCAATAAAGCTAATGTACATTTTGATCTACACTAATTATTAAGACCAGATGTAGTCTATTATTGTGAGACTTTATGTCTGAATAGTAGAGTAGTGAGTCAGTCTTCAGGACTATGGGTGGGGATTCAGCATGAGACAGTGTATGCAAGTTCCCATGGTAATATACTGAAGTCATGGAAACAACAATCAGAGATGACATAGAATTCAGTGACATCTACCGTACTTATCTGGGTAAGAGCCCATGCTTGGGCAAACGCCCACCCCCCACTTTTGACACAATAAAGGAGTTGAGGTCATATCCGGGCACACGCCCAGGGGGTCTTTTTCTACACAAAAAAAAAAATATTTTCTATTCGTTGACTGTAGTTTTATTAACTTTCTTGGCTTTCTTGAAGACTGTCGTGATACTTATAAAAATTGTTAATTGCGTAAAACAAGGGGTGAACGCAAAATAGCTGTGACAGCTTTCTGCCTTCAGGGCAGCGCGTTCTGAATCATAACAGTCAGCAAGTCTATAAAAATATATATTAAAGCAGAAACGGTAGTTCTCTTTTTGAAATATGTCGTGGCCCTAAAAATGGCCGGTCGTTTGGGTTGTGCTTCCTTAGAAACGATTCAGGCAAAACGTATAAGGAGAGCCGCAAGTGTCGCACTCGTTCGGCTTTA